TATAAAAAATAATCTATATTTTCGAATAATTTTTATATATAGTATATATTTTTATATTTTATATATATTATATATAGTATATATATAGTATGTATAGAAAAATTTGTCTTTATAAATTTTTCATTCTTATATAAAAAAAATCTTCTATTAAAATTTAACATTTTAAGAAATATTCACAAATAATATTTTATTTTTTATTTATATTTTATTAAATATAAACGAAGAAATAAATACTTGAAATGAGTTCTCGAACTATTTTCTTTTATGAATCTTCTTCTTTTTTATTTTTTCTTAAATTTAAATTTTTTTTTTATTTTTGTGTCTTAGTAGATTTCCCTAGTTGCAAAATGGAGGTGTGCACGAGATTCGATTGTGATAAGACAATCACTGATAAACCAACATACCTATAAAATGTAGTACATCGTGATTACACTTTTATTCTGTTTATAATGTTTTAAAGAGGTACGAAGAACGCAGCACAAAACCGTCGTTTTTCCTGGTGGCTTGATTGTGTTTCATCATTATCTCTGTAAATATTACAAATATTTTTATTGTTATACTATTCTATTTGATTTTTTATATTTTCATTATTGATAATTTTGAAAATATTTTCATTATATAAATTATTTTTTATATGAAATATATATATTTATTCAATATAAATTAATTATTATTTTAAAAAAAATTAAAAGTATACTATTGATTGCAGTAAATTGATTGCATAAAATTAACCATAAAATTATATTAATATTATTTTTATGTTATCTAAATGCTATTTTTTAATAAAAAATATCATAATTTAAAAATATTCAAATTTAAAAAAAAAGCATATCAAATTAATTTACATCCTTTAGCTTTTTAAATCATTTAATGAATTATGATATGTAAAATTAAATTTGATACGAAATGATATGTAAATTTGATACGAAAAATTTAAAGAATACTATTTTAAATTATTTTTATAATTTAAATTTAAATTATTAATAAAAGATTTGAAAATATAATAAAAAAATACAGATTATGAAAAAAACAATATAATGAAAGATATAGACTATGATAAAAATTTAATATGCACTTTTTTTGTATAATATAAAAATATGATATATTGAATTAATAATTTTTTTAAATTTTTTAACTGTATCTGAATATAATAAATTCTTGAAAA